CGCCCACTTCCCCCCGATTTTATTGCTCTCGTCTGTACGTGACACAAACTGAAAAACAAAAATGTCGAGTGTAAAAAACCAAAAAATGGGGTGATGAAAAATTTTTTTTGTCGCAACTATTTGGCAAGTGGGAAGTCGTCTCGAGTGGTGGTCTCAATTTCCCTATCACGAAGATCCTATCTTACCAGGATAGGGCCCCGATTTAGCCCCGGCATTACGAATGTCCGGAAATTCGTGGAGTGTAACGTAACCGATGTCTCAACTCAAAGTACTCGAATGTTACCTGTATAAAATCTACCTTCTATACAAACACTGTATACTCTCTTTATTCGATCTCGTCCGGTTTCTTTTTGGTGTTTGTACACAGACACAATTTATCCGTCACCGTTCGTGTTTTCACACGCCGATGCCTCAGGCTTACGAGAGACACCACCGGTAATATCACTTTTTAATTTACATTTCCTCTGAATATCGCAGGGAATTTTTTGTCATTGGAGCGGAAAATCCGAGGGAAAACCGATTGGAAAAATTCTCACAACAAAATCGACGTTTTGAATTTCAATCTCTTTGATTCCATTTGTCCCTCATTCGTCACACATTTGCCATCAAATTTTTGATTAGTTCGTTGATTAATTAATTAGTCAATAGAAAAAAATGAAGCGATTTTTTCTGTAAAACCGCGTGTCTTATAACCGCTATTCCGTAACGCATTCGCGAGTTTAGCAAGATCCTCATGTAATAAGTAGACATGTGCGTAGGATGTTACGCACCGGGTAAAACAGGTGGATAGTGAATAAAATAAAAGGCGGGGGAGTGGAGGAGTGAAAAGATGTTTTACATATTGCGCTAAGTGAATTTACCACGGATTAATCGCGCGCTCCTGTTTCAAGACATCCTTCTTCCTATTTAGTACTGTTTCTTTGGCTTTATACCGTCCCCTATGCAATTGTGTTGATCTCACTTTCGCGATAGAGAAATAAACCAACGTACGTATTTCACGCGCGACAACCGTTGAATCCCGGGTGTCTTCCGGTGGTGCACCAGGTCGCACGATTCATCTCGCTCGGTTTGCCACGCGGCATACAATTGCTTATTCGTGGATAAATTAATGGAGTACTTGAATAGTACTTGCACAAGCCGCCCCAAAAAAAACGATAAAAGTACTTTGAGTAAGGAAAAAGAAAAAGGGAGATGACGACCCCGTAACCCCGGAGTATATTCCGATGTACGCGCTCTTATGCCGCAGAGATATTTATTGGAGATAATTACAAGAGCGCCTCGTAAAGTCCCAGGACTCGAGAAATCCGCTTGATATCTCACACTCCGGGAATTTCTCTCTTCCTCTCCCCTCTCCACATCATTTTTCTTTCATTTTTTTCTTTTTTTTTCGTTTTTTTTTTTTTTCATTGAGAGGTGCCGTGCGTGTCCATTTCAAAGAGATTCAAAAATACGTTCAACTTTTATCCGGGTGTTTAGTAGATTTTTCTCACGTTCTGGATAATAATAAAGAGGAATTTCTCCGAAATTTTGGAAGACACGCGCAAGGCGTTAGAGTAAAATAGCGAGAAACTTATTTCGAGGGATAATTATTTGGGAATTTTATTCTCACGGGGGAATAGGCAAACGAGCGCACAATTAAGTGGAAAAAACATCGGATTGGGTAATTATCCGGATCACGGAATATCGGGAATTTTCTTTACAATGGATCAGGGAAGTAGTGAAAAATATGAAAATCCAATTAAACAAGGGGAGGGGAAAGGGGATGGGGAAGGGGGGAGGGGGAGGTAATCAGCGAGTTATTTCAGGGCCACTCTCAGGTGAGAAGTTTATATGAAGTACATATCCGCGTGTTAAGAGATAGCGGTGAGGATAGGAACCCGCGTCGTGCCAATGGAATGAAAATCGATCGGTTCAATGATTCTCTCTTTTTCTCTTTTTATCCTTTTCTCTCTTCTTAAGCTCACCATTCTGCCCCGGCGGATCGAGATGATGCGTCGATATCAAAAACCTGTGGAGTGGTTTCTCGCCGATGGGATCTCACCTCTTCCCACCATTTTACTCCCACCCCATCGTCATTTTTTCATTCCTCATCCTTCCGTCGTTATCTTTTTCATTTAATTCGATACGAAACGAAAAAAAAAAAAAAGAAAAAACAACGAAAACTTTTCGGTGGGCACACATCACGACACGTAAGGGGTACAATGGTGTCACCCAGAGCAATTTTCGTATAACGACGTATCTCCGTGGGACGGTAATTAAACCGAACGTGCACTTGCAATTAAAAGTGGGCAATGACTTTTTTGAAATGTTTTCTTTTCGGGGTTGAGACACGCAACCGCCCTATCGCCACTATCTTTTATTCGGTATTTGCTCCACTTTGTTGTGAGTTTTTGCTGTACAGGAAGTGAAGTGAATTACTTTTCTTTTTTTTCTCTCTCTCTCTCTTTTCTCAATCTGCAATTGTACTTTTCACATTTTCAACGTTTGGTAATGGCTATTTTGTTCACATTTTGGGTACGCTGTTGATGAAGTGGTTCGAGCAATTGCAGGAGTAAGACTGGAAGTGAGGTTTAGAGAAATTCTCGAGTGGTATTCTTCAACCGGAGTTTTTAATTCGGGATAGGCTGAGAGGTTCGGTGTTTTTGAGGAGGTGGGGTTGTTTTATTCTTCACGTAACCCCCTTTTTTTTTTTGCTGGCCATAACGGGAGGCTGCTTTGCAAAAGGTACACGCCTTGTTCTCCCCTCTACTTTATCAGAATAAGTGGTTGCACGAATGCATGATTTTATGTTAATAATTGATTCACGTAATAATTCCATATGAGTTGTCAATTTTTTCGAACTCCATTATTCTTCAATATCGCCGTTTACGCGCATAAATTCCGTAATCCCCCGGAGAAAATTCCGAGGGGTGCAATAAAAATACACACGCGCAGATACGGATGTATATATTTTTTTTGGTGAATTGTACAGGCCAATATCTCTATATCAGTGGCCAATATAGACGGGGTTGACTCATTATTTCTAACTCCCCAGACCGAGGGTTCACAGCCCTCGTCGAAGGGCCGAGATATGTGACTGCTCGAGTGGATAATTTCCAAACATCAACTCCTCGGTGAAATTAATTTCAAAATTTTCTTGGACCCCTTGATAAACGATTCACATCGCTCGGAATGAATTTTGGAAATAATAAAATTGATGTTTGATTGCTCAATGAATGCTGACGACTTGTGACGAGTTCTGTAACGACGTGAACAATAAAAAAGCTAAAATAAAATTACCCAACCCCATGGCAGTTATGCCTGCGCGAGACTTCAAAAGGCCTTTGTTACATTCGGAATTGACAATTGACAGAATTGATACTGTTGCCTGGGATCCGCTTGTGTGGCGATGATATTTATCGCCTCGGGCGATGTGCCAGAACACCCCAGCACGTCTCCTCGTTTCATGAATGGGGAGGCGTTGTATTATACATTTGCCGATAACTGAACATTCTCCCTGTGCAATTCAACCCTTTGGCGACCATTTTAATAAGTTCATTATCTAATTAAAGAGACCGACAACACGATTTTTTGATGCACGCACACTTTTTAATGGCCCCTGTTACATTTCCGCTCTGAAATTAGTAAAATTCACAACAATTATCAATAACACTCATTCGTATTTCTTTTTGATTCGTATTGCTTTATTTTTTTTTGTTTCAGAATAGAAGGGACGGGGACTTTGAAATGGATTGACACTTGCTCCTGACGATAAAAAAAAAAGTGGCAGAACCCCTCGCCGCAGGAGAATCCGATTTATCGAGCAATTTGTGGGAGCGACAAAAATTTAAATGGCAAAGCGACTCTTTGTAAAACAGAACGAGAGAATCGAATATTGTCGTTGGGAATGGGATGGGTTTGCCACTGAAAAGTGGATGAACCACTAATACCCAGTAAAAGGTGAATTTCCGAGGGTGAATTTCAAATTAAGGGCCGAGTGGTTTTAATCTCATTTTTCACTTTGTGGTGACGTTCAGTGACGAAGGAAAAATGGCACGAGGTGGTACCGATAACCAGTGATACATCGGTCCACACGACTCACGAATAATCGATAAAATATCTAGCCGTGATGAATACAACAATTTGAGGTAAAGAAAATGCCGACTGATAATCATTGGCAAAGCGTGACACATATTCCGTTTGAAAATGTCGAGACTCTCGTCGAAATTACGAGGTCTCCTCTTCTCACTCAAAAAATACGACCGTGAGACGCACCCCGAGGCTTGCCAAACGATTTGCTCCTGTTGTAGAGCATTCCAGAAGACTCCATTGTCTCCTATTCTCCAGCTTTCAAAGCAATTTAACGATAATTAATTTTCACAATCAGTGAGATAAACGAAAACTATCTGGCTGTCCATCAGGATAAAAGACATTACATATAATCATAAAAGGGTTTTTGCTACTCTGTTTCACTGTCATTGTCGTGTCACTAAATAATTCAACAGCGTGTGTCCCTAGTATTCGGGAAAAGGAGGCTGGTTTTGTTTGATAGAAAGGCGTCGGGACGCCCTAACAATGCACAGGAGCCCGTATTTTACACGCTCTTGTAAACCAACACAATGACGTAACCGCATGGCTTAACGCGTCAAAACGGATGTCACACTGTCGACTGGACGTATTACCCAAGGGGTGCGTTTTTTTCGATGTCATGTAGAGTAGTTGACAGTGAGATGCATCCTAGTGGTTACGATTCGCGAAAAAAAAAAAAATGTACGTATGTATCATATGTCATTATGAAAATTCATAATTCAGAGGGCAAAGATTGTAGCTTCCCCTAAAGTCATAGATCTACCCTATCCCTCGCCCTTACAGACGATGTAAAATTTAGTTTTCACTTTTTCAAGAGAGAACATTTTATTATTAATATTTTAAATGACTGGAATGATATATCAATATATTTTCAATAACAGGCGGCGTTAATCTATTGATTTGTTCAAGTCGATGACATACATTACCGTGAATCGATAAGAGACGAGATAACGAGTGCCTCAGTGAGATGAAATGGAGAAAAGAGACTCGACATTTGACGTGTAGATTTTTTTTAAAAGGGAATAGAAGATATTGTGAAAGGGGGAAATGAGAAGGTAGTCTGACGGGGCGTAAGATAGCTCCTTCTACTCTATCTGTGATGCAGAGTCATTCCTGGCGGGACAACCCGGCGTCGGATGGATGCCAAAGTATTAGCATGACAAAGAGACCCTGGGACGCCTCTTCCTCTGGCACTTGTCGGTATATAAAGAGAGGGGGCTCTTGCTTACTGCTTGCATGGTACTAAGGGGGACCCCCTCTGCCACTACAATTCAAATGCGATGGGCGTATGCTATGCTAATATTACTTATCCACTGGCGCTAATGCATTATCAAACCACTGGGACCATCTCCGAGGATCGAGGCATCTCCACCCGATGTTACAGTATATCCAGGTATTTTTTTTTTATATATATATTTTCAATAATCGATGATAAAGTCAAATTTTTTTCAACGTCAATTTTCAATTTTCGACGTAATCGAGAAAATTGATTCTGTCGAAAAATTAAAAATTGGAAAGAGGATATAACATTTTTGACAGGTGAGATAAATCGAGATTGAATATCGATTATTATTGAAGCTATGGATTTTACGAGGAAATACGGTAATATATTACTTGCGGAGAATTTAATTATTATTTGAATGGATTCTCACCGAGATAAATCGGTAATTAAAGGAAATAGTAAAGTCGACTTATCTCACTTTAGTACTTTGTTACTGATACGAGTGCACACTGTACATGAAGATATTTTTATAATTCCTAAATATATAGTACTTTGGAATATATGAATGTTTAATATTTCCGCTGGATCTTGCCGAATGGAATAAAATAAAAGGGGGATTAAAACGAGGTCAAACAATTTCTCAGGTTGTTTTTCATCATTGAGAAAAAAAAAACAAAGAGCGAGGTAAAAAAAAAAATATTAGTATGTTTATCTCCTCTGGAAATTGTCCGGTTGTCTTCATGTACAGTTGTGTGTTGAATAACGTGTCCGGCAAACGAGAGAGGATGGAATTATCGGTGTGCCAGAGATTTCAGAGTGGATAAAGTGCCGCTTTGGCCGTGCGACACGGCAATCGCATTTGCATAATACCACTTGCATCGGGTATACACAATATGCAGAGACGATTCCTACGGTGTCACGATTATTCACGAGGACAATAATTATCACTTTGACCGGTATGACGTTCACTTGCAATTGACCTTCAATTTTGATTTTTATACGCGGAAAAAAGATATACATTTACAGCTCTCATACAATAGGTAGATTTTGAGATTTGATTTGTTGACTAATTTTTATCACTGCAGGATGAGTAGTGGCGGATTATTTTGAAATGTGTCAAAACAATTTGGGGAATTGAGGGGATTTAGGGATAAAAATAAATAGAGAAATTTTATGCTCAACACGATTTTATGATTGTATTCGCGTAGAAGTGGAGATTATCGTGCGGTCGGGATCGAATTATTTTCTTGCGATGGTGTAAAGACATGTACCTATTAAAGTGCGATCACAGTATGGGATTTACGGTAATTCGATTAATAGGTGACCTTCCGGATGATCCGCTACTTTTTTGAGATGAGAATTCATTGAGCGGGGATAAATCGTTGTTTTATATCGGCTATGCGGGATCAATCTTTATAAATCATTAATGCTTGTTTTAATGACACATGTATGCAAAGTCCTGAAGAGGGAAAAAATTGAATAATTGAGCTGAGTGATATTTGCATTCATTGATATTCTCGATAATTTATGATCCGGGATTGGTATGAATGCTGATGTGTTTTTTGGACGCGCGTTTTTCCGAGGAATTTGAATTTTTTTCTCGATGCGGAAGTCGAGGGTGAAATGATTTTTCATTGTATTCATTGTATTGTTTTATTCAGATATATATTTTGGTAATGAATTTCAGATTGCAATTTTGTCTGGAGGACGAGCGATCACCGAGAAATGGTACCACCTGCGGTGTCGGTCAGGACGAGTCACGCCTCTATCCCGAGAAATGGAAGAACAACTAATTAACTATCGCAGAGATGATAGTTAATGCCTTTCTTTTTATTTCGCAACGCTGAAGACGGATTTTTATCTGATTCTCTCGCCTCACCTTTTACTCGTGGTGTGGATGAGGAGCACTTGGGTCTCATACCTCGAGATAAGCCATTCGATACGGAACTCTTTGGTGTTTTGGTAGAGATGGAGAATTTGGGGCAAAAAGAGGACGTTATTTTTGCTCCCCTTTCAGTGGAATTGATTCGAGGAGTGACGAGGCAGAGACAACGGAGATTTACCAGTCATCGTCGAGATGACCATCCACGGAGATGAGCTGTTGAGGATTTCATCTGCACTCACTTACTTCTCAAATAATCTACAGGTAATTTTCATTGTACATTTAATTATTCTATATATACTTGAAATTGAAAAAATGCAGGCTTTAATTCTTTGAAAATAAAAATCATAAAAATTCCTGAACTCTTTTGCCTCGATAATTACAAGTCAAGACAATTGTAGATTATATCACTCTCGTTCTCATCCCTACCCAAAAGAAAAAAATCTTCATTTACCTAATTCTGGGTTTCAGTGGGCGGAGCTGGTCTCGACATCATTCACTTTTTTTACCTGTGAAAAGCCCGAAAAGTTGGGCATGATTGTCGTCAATTTAGGGGAAAAAGAGACACAATGGAGTTAAAAAAGAGTCAAGCAGTGGTTTTGCGGTCAGGGTGGAACGAAACGTCACCACAATGGTCGTCCTCTCTACGGCAGTGGTATTATTAGGCTCAGCGATTCAGTACCACTTGTCCTCATCCGATTTGGGACATTTTTTCGTCGCTCCTTGTCGTTTTGCCTGGGACAGGTGACATGGGACATTCTCAGGAGCTCCTTTTGTCCTGGATTCCGTGATTTCTCATGCGTCAGTGACCGAGAGATGGGTCTTCAGATTATGAAAAAATTGAATTACCATTTTGGAACAAAGGTCTTTTTGTATCATGATTTTTTTTTTTTTGATTAATAATGTTGGGATGCTTGTGACACGTGTGATGGTGTGATTTCTACAGTGTGATGTTACCGAATCAAAATTTATTACACGAAGGAATCTTCTTCCGAAAAAACAATGTACGATTAACAACAAAGTAACGTCATCAAAAAAATAAAGAGTCACGTGACCGGAAATGACGTCATCAAAAAAAATAAATGGTCACGTGACCGGAAATGACGTCATCAAAAAATAAAGAGTCACGTGACCGGAAATGACGTCATCAAAAAAAATAAATGGTCACGTGACCGGAAATGACGTCATCAAAAAATAAATAGTCACGTGACCGGAAA